ATAAGGTTTTAATATTTGTAAGGTTAAATTAAACCATAAGAAATTAATGAAGTCTAAAAATTTTCTCCTCTAAAATAAAGATTGAATTTTACTTTTCCTGAAATCAGATTAACAATTTGAGAATTAGGTTAAATTTTTCTATTAACTAATGCACTAAATAAGGGAACACAAGCACACTTTTCGTTAGGCTTAGGTATTAGTTTTCATTGACCTTTCATTTTCTCTAATTCCCCTTTTCTTGACTTAGTTGATAAATAGAATTTGATTTAGTAGCTCAAGTATTGATTTAGTTGATAAAAAAGGATTTAATTTATTAGTGTATTGATTTAGTTGATAGATAGGATTTGATTTATTAGAAATAAAGATTTAGTGATAAACAGGATTTAATTTAGTAGAGTATTGATTTCTTTGATAGATAGGGAGTAATTTAAGATATAATTTAGTAGCATATTGATTTAGTTGGTAAGAAAGGATTTAATTTAGTTTCTTGTTGATTAAGCTTATGAAAATAAGATTTAACTTACTAGAGTATTTTCTCTTTCTTTAATTTCAATTTTTCAAGTGGTAAATCTACAGTTAGGCTCAAATTTTCCTTAAAATTATTAACTAGAGGTTATGTAAATTCTAAAATCCATCTCTCTAATTATTATTGAATTAGTTCACTTTTCCTACTTAAATTCTCTCCATTTCCATTGTATTCTGTGTGTGCATGATGAGTTTTTTTGACACTTTGTATTCATATTTTGTACTTGGCAATGCACTGATTTTTTTGGTATATATATATCTTGGCAGTCCTGGGAGTGATAAACTTTATGATATTTGGTTAATTGTTGTGAAACTTGATTATCTTTTCTTAATTTCTCCCTCTTTTCACCAGCTGGTAAAGTAAAATGTATAATTTGGGTTTTCTTTTGATAGTTAATGAATTTATCTAATTTGTCTGACATTTCATTGTCCTAAAATTCTCATTATTAAAGTTAGGATTACTTTATAAATTTATGAACCATTTTGTTTCCTTTCATTTCAAATCATCAGTAGCTTTTAATAATATGTGAATTCAGCCTAGGTTAATTCTTTCTTAAAAAATAGTAGGCATTAATTTTTTTCTCTCGTGGGTGCTTTGTCTAAATATCTCAACTCAAGCACACACCGTTATTTAGACATTGTCATTTATGAGAGAAAAAGTCTCATGGTCTTATTGAATTTAAAATTGGTAAATTTAATAGTTTCAATTTTGATTAATTTAATTAATTTATCGAGATTAATTCTCTTCCTTCTACAACAGTGCAAATGGAACAAGATTTCAGTCATTCTAAATTTAGGAGTTTCATTGTTAATTAGGGTATATCTATTTTCTACCTTAATTTATTTTACTGTTAAGTGCATCTCAAGGTGTCTCTGTAAGTGAATTTTTGATTAAATAGGACTTAAATTTAGATTGATAATTTTAGATAAATTTAGTAAATGCAGTTTTCTTTCTTTATTTCAGCATATTGTCTCCTTTATAATTGTATTGATTCCAAAAGATATTTCTTGTTATATTTTCATATGAGTGTGGTTTATAAATATCTTAAATATCTTAATTAACTTGTGCACATACTATTATATAGACCAGCTGGTGCAATTATTTTATTCTCATTTCCACATTGAGGTTAATTTTTCAGTTTAAATTTCATTTTGTCCTCTTGTTAACTCCTCAGAAATGTTTTTTTCTTTTGGTTGTGAAATTAAACTGTTATATTGTTAAATTTTTAATTTGAATTGGCCGGGTTTCCATTTCATTTTCCTTAAATTCATTTACCTGTAATATTGGGATCTGTCCTTGAGATGTTTCTATTTGATGTATAAAGTCATTTATTGTTTTGTAATGTATGATATTGTATATGTTTGTGTATCTAAATGTGGGTTTCCTGTACATGTAAATAATCTGACCAAGTGGGACTTCTCTTTTTTTTCTTTGGGGTTGCAAGTTAAGTTATAATTTCAGGGCTATTATAATTATCATTTTTTAACTGAAATCAATTTATTTCATTTCATTGGATTTAATATAATAAATTTAGGACGTTATAATTGTTAACTATAATACTTGAATTTCAGTCCCCCTCTTTTTTTATAATGGAGTTTAATTTATGAAAAATTCAATGAGCATTTATTTCTCTCTCACGATTACAGGTTTATTTTTTATAGTGTTAATTTCTCTGGGTTGGGATTAAGATAGCTGTAAAGTTAAGTGATTTATTACACGATGGGTCTCCTTTATGCTTAGGCTCCATTCCTGAGATACCAGACTATTTTGGGGGTCTGTGATTGCATTGCTTTGTTGTACTAATACATCATTGTATTATGTTATAGATGAAACAATTGTTGCTGATAATTGATTGTTGATACGGCTTGCTATTTCCGTTCATTAATTTGATATTTCGTAATCGATTGTCGCTTAGAGATTTAAAAGCTTTCCGAAGTACAGTTTGCCTGATTCATATACCTAAAATGATCAAAACATGAAACCAAGAACGGTAGCTTGTTTGAAGGAACGCGTCCGCATATCTGATTCTTCTTTGTTAACAAGTTAGTACATTTACTTTCCTCAAAAACTCAACATTCAAAAAAGTAAAAATTACTTCTTTAAAATACAGATCGTTCCGGTCTTAAGACTTCAATTAGAAGCAATGATTGATTTTGAAAATTTCTGGATCTTTCAACACTTGAAGTATTATTGTATTAAGTTACAATCACTATAGCTGTCTGTCCATTATTTTTCCTGTATTCAGATCAAACATTAGAGGAGGATGCTCTTCCTGCTGCATTTGAACTATATCTTATGCTTTAGTACTTTGTAAGGTTATCTTATTTGTTCTCAGCATTTTTACAAGTCAGTTATCCAAATCAAATTTGTATATGATGCTTCTACTGTTGTGTTATTCAAACCAATTTGTACTTGATGCTTCCATGGATGCTTCCTTTAATGCTGTAATCAAACCAAATTTGTATATTATGCTGCTGCATCTGACCTATATTTCTTGCTTCAGTGGCTCTGTTTATTCTTAGCAGTTAGGTTATTGTTCTGATCAAAACTTGTATAGATGCTTCTTTGGATGCTGAGTCTGATGATGAGTCTGACAATGAGTCTGACATTATAGTCACTATGCCGAATCTGATGACAAGTCTGATGTTAGTCACTTACAGACCACACTTGCATGCATGCTGTCTCAATGTTGCATCTGCTGCATACATTTGATAGATTAATTGTATTCAACCTACATTTTAGGTGTGATTACTCAGAAAAGAGACAGAATTTATTGTTGGTGTACGCTCTATATTTTGGTATATAATTTTTTTTATACAGAAATATACAGTATTTGCATTGTATCATGTCACGTTTCCTTTGCTATTTTGTATGTTGCATTTAGAGATTGTATATTGTTTAAATGTCTCGTCTGCACACACTATTCTGTATGTTTGTCTGCCACAACCCTCGCCTCGCCTCAATTCACCTCAGCCTGCTAGATGTACAGTAAGTGGTTTCTTGTCTTGTACATGATCATTGCCACTTAACTGATGATGAGCTTGTAGCTCTACTGGTCAAAGACGAAAAAAGATCATGTGATGGTAAGGTTATGTCGTCAGTCCATCTGTGTTTATCTGTTATGTACATGTAATTGTTTGTATGTTGATCTGTAAAATAACAAAATTTGTTATTAAGATTCAGTGTCAGTTTTGGATTTAATCCCTACAAGTTTGGATTGATTTCAGTTAATTTTAATAAACTACAAGTAGGCAACAAAGTTTATAATTAAGCTTCAGTGTCGTTTTGGGATTTTGACTGACAGTGTTGAAATGATATCAAGAAAACTTGCCACATAAAGAGATTTATCCATGGATCATTACTAAATTGATTTTGATATTGTAAATTGATATTGCCATAGTTTAAGCCCAATAAAGTACTTTCCTTTAGCTTCCTTCATTAAACCAGTAGAGCTTAAGCCACAGTCAGAGACTTCTAAAAGTCTTCATTGTACAAAAAAAAAAAAAAAAAAAAAAAAAAATACAAAAAAAAAAAAAAAAATACAAAAAAATACAAAAATAAAAAAAAAAAAAATACAAAAAAAAAAATACAAAAAAAAAAAAAAAAAAAAAAAAAAATACAAAAAAAAAATATGGTGGGTTATGCTTGTTGTATGTAGTAGTAGTATAATGTGTGTGGTTATGAATAAGTGCATGTGTATGACAGGTGTACATTCATGTGTGGGTAATATTTGTGCAAGTTATGTTTGTATATGTTTATGTAATGTATATAATTATATGCAGCAGTGTGCTCTTTATACAGTGACTGAACAACATATCTTGACGATACAACATCTTGGTTAACATACAGACCTGACATCAGATTAGATTATAAATAAGAATTTTTTTTTCAGATTAAAATGCATGAATCATATGATATCTTCATCATAAAGATCTACCTTTTTCCTTTTTAAATTTAAAATTATAAATGTTAACTGATCTAAAGTCAGAGGTCATTTAGTTTTCTGCTATTCTACATCCAATGGTTCTCTAAAGATATCTTAGAAATCTTGCAGTTTTCAAATTATGCACAACGGTTGGACTTGATTTACAATCATGACCTTTTAAAGTCAAAATTTAAATCCCCATATTTCACTTAAAGTTTCATGAATCAAAATTCTTAATTATCCATGACGCTAGCTCATGTGAGTGCACTTAGTATAGGGTTGGGGTGGGGTGGGGTGATTAACAAACGGTTTTCTAGTATTTGTCAGGTGATGAGACTATCCAGTCCATCAGGAGCTGCAGACTATGATGAGTGTTTCATTTGTTTCAGTTTATACCCTATATTGTGAAATGATGAATTCAATGTTTATTTTGAGTAAGTTAACTTAAGTTTCTTTAATTGCACATTCCTTTTATTAATGTTTTTCATCCATTCACTTAAATGTAATCTTCACATGATGTTTTTGTAATAATACTTTTATAGGAATTTTCTTGTCATTTTTTGTCAGTTATTTTGAATGGTACTAATCTTGTGTCTGAGTTTCTATCTGTGACAGGCTCTCAGGAGGGATGGCCAACCAAACGAGGAAGAGGAGACAATTGCGAGAATTAGGATACAGGGTATTCACAATACCAGTGGACCAACATTGGAAAAAATAGCAAGAAGGTGAACTTTTCATTTTGTGTTCTTTTTCTTCTTAATGAAAGGAAGCACTCGTTTGACCTCTTGATTGACTCTCTTTGATAGAAGCTATAGAATAAAAGGTACACAAGTCTTAATCTCATTGTAGAGAAGAACATCTCTCGTCAAGAAGAGTCCAGAAAGGGGAATCAACTGCAGCCAACCATGGTAAATGGGGTAAGATACCAAAAATGAACCCACTTCCTTGTACTGACCTCCATTTCTTAAGCTCATCCACACTTCACATCTACATTAATATTGGGACCTCTTTTGATCTTATTTTGATCTTATAGCTTTATTTTACAGAATTGATGACAGCTGTACCCCACTACCCGTAGTACCCTTAGGTTAAGAAGAGTGCATCACCTGCCAGCAAGAATACCAAGAGAAGGATAGATTTTGGCTAACCCAAAAGTTACGAAAAGGTAAGGCATTAACTCCATCTCTTACACTGGATCAATTAATATTGCTCTTTCGAATTCATTTAATAAAGTTTTTGTACCTTTGCAAAATAATCTTTCCACATTCTCTGTTAAGGAGGGATTCTTGCCTGGTTTCTAAGTAAATCATTCGAAGTATATTTACATGTTGTATATATTTAGAGAGAAAAGATTTTAAAGATCATATTTTTCTGTCCTCCTCATAATTCGATCTACATCTATAAATAGAAATGATAAGCTGAATTTGAAATCTTGCATGATTATTGTAATTTTTGGCAGGTGGTAGCATATGAAAATATTTCCTTTTCTGCTTCTCAAAATTACTACAGAGAAATGAATTCAGATAAAATTATTAAACAGTCAAAAACTTTAAGAATTTTTCTGATGTAGTAATAGACTTAATTTTAAAAATATATAAAATAAATATGATTTCCCATGTCCAGACCCCCCTTCTGATTTTCAGTCGTTAAATTTTATGCAGTACAGTAAGCAAAAATGAACTTAATTGTCAACCATTGTGCAGGTTACTGTAGATTCCTTATTTTTTTTTATAGAGTTGGGACAATACATTGAGATATCGATAATATCTTTTCTATGTGAAGACAATACCCATATCGACACAGATGTAGAAATATTGAAATATTGCAACAAAAAAAATTGTAACTCGCATTTCCTTTGCTTACTTAACATTTTGGGTTTAATGTATGAAATAAATATGCTTAATATAGACATAAATATGAAATACATAATAATTAACACCACATGTGTAAAATGATTTTGTTTTACAACAGATAAATAAATTATTCTTATTTGTGAAGAAATGTTTTGTCCATTTCAATACAAAAAGGACATTTTATATCCAGTTCAAAATATCATGATACATATTGTATCATGGCTCAAATATTGTGATACGAATTGAAATAGAAAAAGTTGTATCACCTCAGCCCTAATTTTACATGAGTACTAAATGCAGCGAGATGACTCGTAGATGTCAAATAGTGAGAACATGTATTTCAACCAAGTTAAAATAAGAGCGAAAAATTTTATTTTGGGAGCAGCTACTAGTGCTCGTATTGAAATTATACAATAATTAATTCTACAGTATAGGTAAACATATACCACGAGAAAAATACACTCATCATATTCTCAATGTATTACTTGAAAATTATGTATTATTTTTTTAAGTTTTCAAATTAAGATATATCAGAATCAAATTTGTTTCATACTAATTTTTAGATTTGTTTCATATTCAGAAACATCTCTGATAGGGTCTTAACTGGGTTACACTTTGACCTCTTGACTTTCATTTGATAGGATGTAGAGAAGCAAGGCCGATCAGAAGCACTAGACCAATTGACAGAGAGAGAACTGGTAAAGGTTTGCTTACCAGACGTAAGGTGAGCTGTATTCCTAATTAACATTAGTTATCCTGGAGGTACTAGGCATGAATTTCCCTGCAACCAACATAAAGTACATTGATATGTACCTGCTGTGAAGTGTACAGCTTTTTCTGCTGCTGACTAGGACAGACGTGCATGTTTCTGTCAGCTGCATTATTGTCTAGTATTGTACTTTATATTGTCAGATGCAGATTATTTTACTATAGTGTTTCTCTGTTTCTGCCATCACTGCATATTGGTATTATAGTTATTATAGAAATACATTATAAGCACTGCAAGCAGGTAGTTTAGTTTGACAGTGGGGTCAGTAAGCTTTGCCTGCACATGTTAATGCCTGTTGCTATCTTGGATTATTTCCAAGATGTAAGATAGCAGTATTTATTTTATTTACTTTTGTACGTATGGTTATACTTGTGTTTGTAGTTAAGCAGGTTAGCCACTACATGTAAATTTATATTTTGCCCTTTTGTGGGTTGTTGATTGAGATGGACTGTTATTTCATTTCCTATTGTTTGGGGAGGGGGACTTTGGGGCCTAGTATAGACTGGGTCACTCCGGTTGGGGGAAATGGCTAGGGGACACAGTCCGCAGGAAGTCCTGCCTTCTTTAAGCTTGACGTTTGCTCCAGCTGAGTGTAGCACACAATGCCCCCGGGGGAGGGTGCTCCTGATATTGTCACCCAGTTTGGGGAGGAGACTGTTGCTATTGATGGCTGATTTTGATAAGTCTGTAGAGACACAGTTTCCAGTAGTTTCATTTCCTGATCCAGGAATGACATACTTTCCTGGAGGGGGTTGTTGACCACATTCAAGGGGAAATAAATTCAAGAAAATATTTCCCAAGTCCAGGGTGACTTCGATGAGGTTAACAGCAGGGTAGATAGCCTTGTTCAAGATATAGGGGCCTTGTGAGGAGACATTGGCATATTGCACACCAATATGACTCAAATGGGAATTGTTGGAAAGAATATGGGTTCCATGGAAAGAAATATGGTGGACAGCTTTACTTACCTTGGTGCCAATGTTACCAAGGATGGTGGAGGAACTGCTTGCATCAGGAAGAGAAAAGGATTGGCCAGCACATCCTTCAGGAGTCTAGCCAACATCTGGAAGGCTACAGACATCAGTAGAAAGATCAAAGTCTCCCTTCTTCTCCCTGGTCCTCTCTTTATTGTTATATGGATGTGAGACTTGGAAGCTTACCAAGACAGAGGAAAAGAGGATTGACATCTTTCAGACCAAGTGCCTAAGAATGATTCTCAAGGTCAGATGGCAGCAGCATATCCCAAACAAGACAGTTCTGGAAATGGCAGGAGTAGAAAACATCAGTGGTAAGGTGAGGAGGAGGAGATGGAATTGGATCAGCCATGTGCTTAGGAAGGATCCAACAGATGACTGTGTTGTGGCCCTCGGGTGGACGTCTGAGGGGAGAAGGAAGCAAGGCCACCCCAAGACAACATGGTGGCAGATGGTGGAGGTGAAGTGGAATGATGCAGGCTGGAAGTCTTGGAACACGGCACGCTGTGCAGCCTCAGACTGACCCCAGTGAAAGAGGGATGTTCAGGCCTTGTGTGCCTTCTGGCATGGAGAGAATTAAGGTAAGACAAGAAAAAAATATAGGACTTGGTTAAGCAAGATTACTCAAATGCTTGCAGGAATGTTGAGGTCTCAGACAAGACTCGGTCAGTTATAAAACTGCAAAAGACCAAGTTCACTGACAGTCAGCCTGTAGTGACTAGTAGCCAGGTGAGTACCAGGGCATAGCATGCATGTAGAGCAGCCCGTAAGTACTGTATTGCCTCCAGGATCTGTTTCTGTTCATAATCCTGAGATCAGGTTTGTATCTGCAACTCAAGGTCAGTCACTTTCTTAAATAGGCTACAAAAGTTTGGGTCTGGGATTTGCCAAGTACCATCATGTTTGGCCACATCTTTTCAGGGGTCACACTTAGTGGGGGATTCCCAGTAGATCCCAGCATGGGCCCATCAGTTCCAGGTCATTTTGCTTGGGTAATGGGCATGCCCTTGATCACACTAACTACATCTGTGTATTCTAGTGCAGGTAATTTGGATAGTCAGGGCTCTGGCTACTATGGTGGGTTGGTAGAACTGTTGGCGGCACTGGGGGAGGGGGGTCGGTCATTTGTTCCTGGAATAGGAGGTTGGCCTGGGGTACCTCAAGGTCACACTTAAATGTCTATTGCAGATACCCAATTTCTAAGTTAAATTCCTCTTGGTACACAAAGCAGCATAAGCTGGAATATTCCAGCTGAAGTCAAATGTGATGAAATACAATAGGGATGAAGAGTGGGGACCATTCTATTAAAAAATCTCCATAATTGCTGAATACCATCAGTGGAGTGACCAATCTTCTGTTTGCCCTTAGTCTTACCTTGGAGGGGGCAGCGCTTAAGTATATGTTGATATTATGCATCATAGGGGTGCTCTGTTAAGTCTCGTTAAGTTTCCAGGAATTCATTCTCTGGATGAAGGAGAGGTTTGGGAAAACTTCCTTTAGGGCAGCCCTACAGCTGGAATTCAGTTTGATAGCTCAGAAAGCAGGAAAAAACAATAGAACAAAGGGGGATAGAGTCTTGGACACTGTCCAGAAGGCATTTGGTGGAATAACCTTGTCTGAATATTCCAAGAACAGGTTATTGTTAGGTTTGCTCTTGGGGGGCAGGGGTAGTGAGGCGGGGCAACAGTTAATCTACAATTCCCATTGTACCCTGGCAATAAAACAAGTAAAAACAGATAAGTCACCGAGCAGTGGTTTGTTGTCCATGTGCCGTTAGCCCATTTCATCAGAGTGGGACCATGAAGGGCAGAGAGATTTTCGCTCTCCCCCTGCTCGCTGGTGTAATGCTCTTGGACTTTGGAGTGCTGAGATAAGTCAGATGAGCAGAAATCTAGTTATCCCCCTTGTAATTTGCCAGAGACAATAAAATGATTAAAGACTTTCCATTTAAGTTAATGAGCAGTGGTTCATCATCCATATGCTGTTGGGTTGATTTCCTCAGATTTGGACTGTGAAGGATGGAGAGATTCTCGCTCATCTTTTGCTCACTGGTGTAAGCTCATGGACCATAATTGCCAAGATAAGTCAGAGGAGCAGAAAAATAGTTATCCTGGTGACTCCAAAGAGAGTCCGCAGCCTAAAGTGTAGACCTCAACAGAAAGTTCAGCCCAGAGGGTCAATAGGACTCAGAAATTGGGACATATACAACAGAAATGTGAATATAAGAGCAAGCTGGATTCCCTGTGCTCTTGGCTTAAAAAAGCTGACAAAGAGATGAAGTATAAGAGGCATTTCTCTAATGTTGCTTATAGAGTAACCTTTTCTTACATGCCAAATGTCAAGGCCACATTATTCCCTTAGTAAAGTTTGGGAGCCAAGGTTTTAGCTCCAGTGCATGGCCTGTTCCTACTAAGATAGGGGAGCCAGTAAATCAGTGCCATTATTGGTACAGCTGCTGACATCACCATTATCTCATGAGATGTTTGTGAGTGACTGAGGCCCCAGCCCGAGATAGTAAGAGACACCATTATCAGATTAGCTGGTGAGGGGGCAGGAATGACTTGCTAGTGTCTCGTAAGTCTTTATATAAGGACTATGGCTTTGCACATCAGATATGTGTTGGTCCCTTACAAGATGACATGCTCTTAGGGATAGATTTCCCACATGCTCATGGTACTGCAGTTTTGTGTGAAGCACGAACACTCAAGATCAAGGGTATAGACACAACCTTTAAAAGTACCGAGGCATCAGTGCAACTACTCAATGCGGGTTCAGCCTATAGGGTATGTGTTTCTCCACACACTGTGCAGGTGATTGAATATGATTCGAGTGCATATATGCCAGAAATTTTTACTGGAGCCTGCCAGTATTTTTCTTCCTGGTACATTAGCTTCACAGACTTATTATGCTGCAGTATGAAGAGCTAAGTTATGTGTACCGAACCTGACAGCTAGAAAGTTAAATAATTAAGACAGGTTATAACCAAAGTCAGGAAAGCAGTCCCTGCTGTGTTTGTTTGCTACTCATTAAGAGTGTATGGACACCTTATTGGAAAACTGCCGAGTTGGTAGATCAAGATAGCTCTGTAAGACCTGAAAAAGACAGCCTTTATATCAAAGTAAGTATGGGTTATTTGAATTTACAAGAATGGTTTTTGGTCTGTGCAACATCCCTGTGACTTTCAATAGGGCAATCAAACTAGTGTCACCTAAACTGAACTTGAAAATAGCCAAAGCATCCCTGGGTGATGTCTTATTGCTGGGGGCTTCAACACTAGCTCACCTTGACCACCTACGACAGGTATTAAGAGATTCAGAGAGTATGGTTTGAAATTTAAATGTTGGACGTGTGAGCTATTCAAATCAATTTTGAGTTCTTCGACAGAATAGTGAGTTAGCAAGGAGTCAAGATAGGGGACCAGTGCATTGAGGCAGGACATGACTGGCCTGTGCCATGTGATGTAAAAGATGTTGAGCATTTTCTAGGTTTCACCTACTACCATCACAGTTTTATTCCCCAATTTTCTCGTATTGATGTATGCTATATGCAGTTACTGGAAACAGTGGTTTCCAGTGAAAAGATGAGCAGCAGAATGGTTTTGAGGAACTCCTTATTAAGTTAATGACTAAGCAATCTCAAACAGTCAAGGTCACTTTATTCTGGACAATGATGCCTCAGATCATGCGGTGAGGAATAAAGCCAAGTCCAGAATGGGAAGGAGGGAGAACAATATAGGTGATGGCAGGGCAGTGCTGATACTGTACTACCAGGAAAAAGAGTTGCTGACAAGAATTCAGTTCACTTGTCAATTCCACCATTACCTGCATGGCAAGGAGTTCACATTCAGAACCAATCATCATAACCTGGTCTGGTTGATGAATTTGAAACATCTCCAGAACCAGTTCAGTCACTGGCTAGAAGAACTGAGCCAGTATAATATGTGGATTGTTCACTGCCCAGGGAAGAAACACTTGAACACTGATGTACTATTCCATAACATAACTGATAACATGCCAGAATTTACTAGAATTCCAGTAGCAGATTTGCC